AAGAAAAGCACGTCATTATCGTTCAGGAACCTCGCTGAAATGGAGCGCGAGAACAGCTTTCGATGGGAGTTCATTGCGTTCAAAACGGGCTGATCGGCCAGTTTGCTGCGTCAGCGCTGACCGAACGATCGTTCCAACGATAGCTCATGGGAAGGTGAGGTTTTATTGGTGCTATTTTTTTACAATTCCTTATCTAAATTATTGAGATTCTCCTAGGAATAAACTTTTCGTAGTCTCTGAACTTTTAAATATATCTCGCCCAAAAAGAACACGAACGAAGAAAAATTTCCCCAATTTTCGGAGAAAACGAGGGTACATTACGTTGTTGCGAAGCTAGATGTTCATCGATTTGTCCGAGAAGCCCCGTCTGATCAAATTTAGGCCATTTTATTGAGCTTATTTAGTGTGCTGAAATAGAGTACAATTACAGGTGGACGGTCGGTATATTCGAACAGACAACAGTGGGACAGAATTAGTTTATCCATCTGGGAGCTGCTTTCCTCCTAAGATTACACAGAAGTCTATCCCTTGGTTGACAGTCCTTTCTTCGCATTATCCTGCCTCTTATTAATAAGACTGATTTTGAAAAAAATCACATTTTTCAATGAAAGAAATATTTGTCGTGATCTTAAATGCTCTGGGTGCTGTGCACCAAAAACCCCTCCTCACTGAAATAGCTAGCTAGTGACAGTTGCGCATCATCGAAAACTGGTATAAATACCAGTTTGTACCATTCTTCAAACAAAACAAATAAAGCAAAGCCCAAATGGTCCTAAACATAGCACACACGCATAGGGGAACATAACGTTTAGGAACGAATCAACAGATTACTAAGATTGCGTTCATACTTCGCGGCAGTGTTTCGAGCGTCAGTCGAAGTGCGTCCATACCTTGCGTCGGAGTTCTGAGCGACTAGAAAAAAGGTATGGATCTAGGGGGTGACAAGAGAATCGTAATTCACCGCGGTGTGGGCGTCGCGCGCGATGTTGCTCCCGCAGTGATGATGGTTCCAGGTAGTAGATGGCAACAACGGGCAAATCAGAACCGAAAATAGCGTGGCAAACGGGTAATTCATAACCGAAATTAGTCATGAATGTCTACGATGACGGGGTCTTCATGAAGTCCGCTGCTCAAATAGCAGGTAACCCGACAAGCCGCCGTGCGGCGAGCGCGAATGCGGTTCTTTGCTGTCTCCCCATGGATATGGCGTTTTCCGCCGGTTCTCTGACTTTCTGTGGGCGCGCTGATAAACGCTGGCGTAAGCTCAAAACGCGATATCGATCCTTTCCTAGTCACTCAAAATGCTGCCGCATGCCAGGGTACGCTAGATATATAGTTCGATACCTTTCTTCCCTAGTTGCGCAAAACGAGTTTGAGCGTATCCGTTTTATAGGTACGACATGGCAGCGAAGCTCGCGCGATCTGCTTGTCACAATATTTTGTGAAAACCTAATTTCAAATTGTCGTTGCTCGGGCGGAGCGAGCGTGCGCGAGAGCGGTGCGAAGAGGTCAGTGTGGTCTTGTCGGCGAGGAATTCGCCGCGCGCGCCTGTGCGGGGGTGATAATGTATATTGCAGCCTTGTTCGCTGCTGATGCTGGTACCATGTTCAGCAGGGAAGCCGATTTGGGCCACGAGTCAGCCCGTTGTCTACCAGCACTATTGTGGAAGTGCGTTTCGCAGTAACCACAGTGGTAAAACGGGCCGGCGCCGCGGCCAAATCAAGTCGATTAGCAACACACCTAAAACATCCGCAACGAAGCAAGACTCTACGTTTCTTTTCTAGTGAAACGTGTGATTCGCAGCTGCCAAGGCCTGCAAGGCTCGAGTGAACAATAATTTCCAAGAGACATACGTAAGTTTCTAAAGACAATACGTTAAGCTTGTGGAACCGTCAAACATTTCTTTTTGAGGACCATCATACAGGATGCTGAAACAAAGTTTCAAAACGCCTTTGGACATCTACCCACGATTCGGGTATTTTGCCCCGGCCGAGTGAACCTTATAGGTGAGAACTATTAGAATCTTCAATCTTTCGTGCTCACTGATTTCTTTAAGGAACCGTTCATATTCTACGAATGTGGATAATTTGTAATTACGCAGGTTTGTCGACAAAGAAAAATGCGCATGTGCAAGTGTTGTAGCGATACCCTGTAGGGAGGAGACTTCAGGGGTGACTGGGCCACATATTTGAGTGAAGAGGTGGGAATCAGTGGCCTTCAAACGCCATTTGGAGAAGACTGCAGAGAAAAACAGAAAACTGAGGGGATGGTATTTGAAGATGATTCACTTGGGTGTGGAGTCGATCGGTTCCCTTTCAATACTCTGAGTCGCGCATCTTCTATATTCGCAAAGTATGAACACTAACTAATCAGTAATTCTCTCCCCTTGATCGACCCTTTCTATAGAACTACTCTCAGTCTTCACATTTTCAGGTGAACATATCGATTATCACGGTTATGGCGTTTTACCGATGGCTATTGATGTTGGCACAGAAATATTGGCAGCTCCAAATGGTAGGCAGGAAATTCGACTCGTCAATGTCGATGAGCAGTACCCGTAAGTGTGTCCTTATGCCGCGTTCAAATTTTGCGCCATTGGAGAACTGGCGAGTTCGAGAACGCATGAAAAAGATTAGATACGTATCGATTAATCATGGTCCAGTTCTATGGTCAAGGTCCCAGCAAACGATGGAGCGGTGACGGGGCGTGGATTAGAGCCCTGCCAAGGCGGCCTTTCCATCAATGATGCCATCTTAAATGCGCAGCAGTTGGCGGGAAGGGCTGTTCTGGCTGCGACCCAAATCGCGAGCGCTCAAACGCCCTATCGTTTGCGGGGATCATGGTCATAAAATGTCGCATGCTACAAATATAAACGTGACCTTGACTCGTTCAGTTTCTCGAAACTTTTGCTCTAGGCAATCTTCGATCACTCTGCCATTCGGAATGGAAAGGCGCTTCGCCCTTTGTGGCTGGAAAGGGATTATGAACAAACTTGGTGTAGATCAAATCGGATTCGACATGCTTGTTGGAGGTATGTTGACAAGTTACGAGTTTCTTTCCTTTCGTTTGATTCCTCAGCAAGATGTGAGGTGGACTGGAGGAACGGTACATAGCGCGTCGGAGCTCTTCAGCGAGGAGCGTCTTAAATTCTTAGTCGCTACGGAAGCTGGGCGTTTCGGGGAGGGCGGCTTGTTTGGGGCGGCGTCAACGTAATCTCCACCAATGCGGTTTCTTGCAACTGCTGGAGAACAGGCTGGCGTGGCGCCAAATTTAGTCCCTTCTCCTGAAACGGTCCTGCCTCCACAGCGAACGGAGACAGCGTTTGAGTCGTTGAGAACAGTATAAAGTTCTCTACTGTTTTGTTTCACTCAAAAAAAACCTGCAGCTTTCGCTCTACTTCTTCAATCCTTTCCATATCCTTCCCTATTGAAGATTTTACTCGGGAAGTTGGAAGTGGATCCAGGTAAATAGTGAAATGGACAGGTAAAGATCAACACTGATGTTGAGGGGAGGGGTCGTATGTGAGGAGCAACGGAGAAGGGGGGGGGTGGTGATGCTGAGTGATCCATTTTTCCCATCGACATGACGTCCTCTAGATTGAGATTTGAATGTTAAAATACGCACTACTCAACCCAGGTTCGATTCCTCCTTCATCTGGACTATCGAGTAGCTCGTCACTTGTTTGTGCTGCTGCCCTAGTAACTTGGATGATTCATACAGGAAAAATTTTCGAAGAGGTTACGCGGTTGGTACTGATTTTATTACCTCTTGAAGGTATTCGTACTTAATTTTGAGAACTTTCGTTAGGGAAGAGCTCGCTGATCTATGTGCCAATGCGGAACGCTACATTGGAACTCAAGGAGGAGGAATGGATCAAGCTGTGGAAGTGAGTTCAGAGTGGCCTTAATTTTCTCACGGTGAATGTTTCTTCCAATCGCTATTTACAGGTTCTGGCTGTAGAAGGGAGCGCTCTGAAAATCGACTTTACCCCTCTCCAGTCACGGAAAGTTACATTGCCTTCTCTTGCTTCATTTACAGTTCTTCATTGCGGCGATACACTGAACAAGGTATGCTCCTTCTCTTGTTCTTCACTTCGAATGTGCTATAGGTAGTTCTAGTAAATGAACCCTTTACAGGCTGCCACTTCGCAATACAACGAACGGGTTGTGGAGGGGAGACTGGCTGGAAAAGTGAGTTTTATTACTGTTGACTTCCGAATTTTCTGATCCTCCTTAACTAGCAGTTAAGTATACAAAAAGAGCGTACATCACCGTTGAGCGACGAAACCCATCAGCGGGTCATATTTGAATGCAGGAAGGGAGTCTATTTGGCCTCGAGATGTCACATGTGCTAGCAATACTTATTTCTGATAATCGATTGGAAAAGCCCCATCTTCATAGGAAAAACCGGGGGAGAGGGGTACGACCGTCACCCTTTTTATGGCCAACGGTCGTATTGACATTCACCAGCTCATAGCTAGCAAATGACAAATGTTTGAACTGGGATTGTTTGTGCTTTGTGGCAGTGAACAATCTTTCTAATCTTTTTTGTGGGTTCTTAGATTATCCCCCACTCGCGGTATTCTATGCTGCAGCGTTGCAGGCTATCAATGTAACTTTAGCGGTTATAAGTCTGAGAAAAGAGACTTTTTTCGCATTCTGAAGAAAAATTGCTTGGCATGTTATTTCGGTCAGAGAAATTGATCATTTAGAAGGCGGCCATTTACTCAGTCTAGGTCTTCTTTTCATGTTCTGTTGAGAATTGACGTCGCACCCTGGGGTGCTGTTAAGCAGTTTCTACATTTTGCACTTTGAAAGTACTCTTACATTTTCAGCTTCTTTTGCGAAGTGCCGGAGATGTGTCAGTTGAATCGTGGCGTTTGAAGGATGTTCAGGTTAGTAATTAATTCAGAGGTGGATCTGAGGACTCCTGTCATGATGTGTCAGTTTAAAAAAGTGGAAACTTTTATATCGCTGTACGGTGTTTCATTTGTCGCCTTACTGAGAGTTACCGTCTGGTCCCTTTCTCACGCGGCGGTCCTCTTCAGGACGCTCGGGAAAATCCCTAAGAAGATATGGTGGTCTATGTGTGAATCTCTACCCGGAAAGCAATCGTAGAGAGTCTGAGGACATACTAGGAAAAGAATACGGTAGCGAGGGCTTGGGCGGTGCTTAATGCAAATAACTCACATATAGTTTTACTTCATTGTGAATATTTTTTTCAAGAGCAGTTTCTCTTGGTATAAGCTATTATCCCTAAGAGGTAAACTTATTGGACATTGAACATTTTCTCGCTACGGGATGTTCTACTACTGGAGCGTGTTACTAGCGGCTATTTCGCCTGAGAAATCCTGATGGCGTCAGAAAAGGAGATCCAAGTTGTTCCAAGCGGTGGCAGTAGCGCAGTGAGGCAGTAGCCAAGTGCGCGGCTCCCCGCCAGACGGACTTGAGTTTCAAGTGTAAGCATATCCATACAGATGTCCGTTCAGCTTAGCTAGGAAACTGCGCTAGTTATGGCGACGGAGGGGGGGGGTGGCATTTTGCACTCCAGAGCTGCTCTCACCTAAGTCCCCGGAGCGCTTACACCCACCTTCGGTGATAACCTGCGAACTCTTACTGACCAGACGGAGTAGAGCACGCTCGAGTAGTCACGATGGCAAGAAACCTGTCAAACTCTTGTCAGCTCATGAAATAGTTCTCTAGATGATCGGACAGTTGGGAAGTAGCTACAGTGCAAATACCCCTCCCATCGCCGCCGACTGCCCCTTAGAAGACACAAGCTAGTGTGTGTACGGTCGCTACATATGGGGTTATATAGTCGAATGGCGCAGCTATAAGGAATCTTAATGGCACTAGGGTGCGTATGACGCATAGCCACCACTCGCCATCTTTTGGGCCGGCGTTGCTCGTCCAGATCGCGCCAACGTCCTTGTTGATGCACATTGATGCTAGCTACTTGCGGAAGAAATGATGCGAGCTAACGCAGAATCGCTCACTGTTTGAAGGTATGCTGCTTCGCCTCACATTCACCCTCATCCATTACGATCCTACTGAGGTGGTGAGCGACTTTGGACAGTTTGTACGACTCAGCTAGTGGACTGCAAGATGGGAGGCGGTCGTATGGCGTGGCTGGCAGCTGTCCTACCGTAACTGGGACGCTGCTGGACGCTAATTGACACCTCCCTGAGCCTGGGCAGCCGCTCCCTTGGACCGGAGAACTCGTCCACATACGTAATTGACTCGCATCATTTGTCGACCACACAAATAGTAGGACGCCTTCCGTAGACGCCGAATTGCGTACTGGTCGCCCAACCACCCATTCTCTTCCGTTTTTGAGCGGGTTTTCGACTTCTTTAGCCTTACCAGTTCCACCCCTATCAATTTCTTCCTCAAAATACCATCCTCCTCTTCCACGATTTCCACTTCTGCAATACCCAGCTGAGTAGCGTGATGGAAGAAGCAGAGAAGGGAAAAAGGGTGGATGACTGGCACACGCTCTTCCCGAAGTTTATGGTTCACGCTCGGTCATAGTATTTTGAAACCACACTACTAATATTGTATATTGACCATTGCTTATTCATTGCCTTTCTGTACAAGTGCGGAGCTACTAAACCATTGGTGAGTTTTTTTGCAGTTGCTTAAAACTTGATTTCTATACTGTTTGCTTACTGGAAGAGCATAGTTTCATGACCATTTTGGGATCATGACACATTCTTCTTCTAAGTTCGCTCACAGTTATTTTTCCTTGTTAACGATCATCGATTAATTACGACCGCAACTTCTTTTTCGGGATGAGTTACGGAAGACTTTGTGTCTCCTTTGGGCATATCAAATGAGACAGCGACGTCGCACGCTCCCCTATGGCAGTAATTAGTGAGAAATGTTGCTCGTCAGCAGGGTCACAATGTCAATACCGACTTAGAAATGAGTGAGGGACCTGAGTGCTAGGGAAATTGGTGTCAGAAAGGCAAGAATATTGAGGAATATGCATGCGTGAAGCTGTTCTGGTAACTTTTTTGTGCAAACGTGTAAAAAAAAACAGTTGTTAGGAACTCTTCAATGATCGTGAACAAGGAAAAATAACTGTGAGCGAACTGAGAAGAAGAATGTGTCATGATCCCAAAATGGTCATGAAACTATGCTCTTCCAGTAAGCAAACAGTATAGAAATCAACTTTTAAGCAACTGTAAAAAACTTAGTAGCTCCGCAGTTGTACAGAAATGCATTGAATAATCGATAGCCGTTTATAGCTGTAGTTATGTAATGGCTGGTAGGCGAAAAAAAGTCGAAACTCCGCTCAAAAACGGAAGAGAATGCGTAGTTGAGCGATCAGTACGCAATTCGGCGTTTACGGAGACGTCTCACCATTGTAGGTCGATCAATTATACGAATCAGTATGGTGCGTGGCTTGTGGACGAGTTCTCCGGTCCGAGGGAGCGGCTGAACAGGCTCAGGGAGGTGTCAATTAGCGTCCAGCAGCGTCCCAGTTACGGTAGGACAGCTGCCAGCCACGCCATCGGACGCGACACCTGCAAAGTCGGGATGGAAGTGGCATTAATGGCCAAGGCGCCCCTGTATAACTGCCGACAGCTGCGCCATTCGACCGCCTTGCGCTACAATTTGAAGTTCTCAGCTCGCGCCTGAACTCTGACTCTCCTACACATTTTCCATTATGAGTATGCTGTACCCCGGATGGCCTTCGTAATCATGAGTCATGGCCCAAAAATGTCGCTAGAACCAGCTAAAAAAACGAGCATTCTGAACGCCAAAGTTAAGCGCTCACAAGGGAACATGGGCAGACATATTAGCCGCACACAGTACTTCGCTCGTTCGACATCCTGCCTTGCTGCGGGAATGATGTTGCCAGTTTATTTTTTGCAGCAGAAAAGGTGGCAACTTCGCAACAAGGCAAGATATATGGGGCAAGGCTGGATGTAGGCTGGATTTTCCGCTTTTTTTCCCTTGAAGGCGCGTGCTGTGACTTAGGCGAAAGGGTGGCGCCTTTTTATGACGCGGAGCGAAATCGAGTTCTCTCGCAACTCGGTGGGTCAAAAGAAATGGATAAATTAGTCTTTTCTTGTCATGCAGGACAAGGGTCGAATGTCGTTACACCGACCAAAGTCACAAGTGAGGTTTCTTAGCCCCTAGGGAGTGAATGTCTGGCTCGTAGACAGAACAGCGCATAACGAGGATGTTCAAGCTGCTTTTACCTGACAAGGGTAGGAGCTGCGGGTAGCCGGGTCACGATTGTGCCCTTAATATTTTAATCACGAATTGTCGTTTTTGCCCAGTGGATCTTGCGCGAATCCAATTCATTCTCATTCTAGTGAAATTATTCAAATTGCGATCACGCGCTCGACATGGTGTATAGCGAAGCGGATCGAGTGAACAAATTCGAAGAAGCATGCAAAAATAATGACTTGATTGAGATGGGAAAACTCATGATTGCAAGTCATGAGAGTTGTAGCAAGGTGAATTTTCACCCATGAATTTACAACTACAACTTTTTTACAACAACACAAGACTTTTGTTTCTGTCTCTTTCAGGATTATGAATGCAGCTGTGCTTCGATGGACATTCTGGTTGACGAGTGCCTTAACGCAGGCGCTCTAGGAGCACGCCTCACGGGTGCTGGATGGGGAGGATGTGCTGTTGCCCTCATCGACAATACCCATCCGGTAGATCTAGGCAAGAAAGTTCTGTTTCACAGTGAGCCTTCTGCAGGGATTTCTGGGTCTTTCCTTTGAATACTGTGATCAATAGGTGTATTCGGGTATCATGAAATTGCTGAAGTGATGAGAGCAATCCTTCCAGTGCCGTGTCGTGACATACCATCATTCCGTTTACTTTTTCTTCGGACAAAATGAAGCTGTGTTAATAACTTGCTTATTTTCTGTTGTCAATCAAGAACAGATTCCTGAGTTTCTCAGATAGCCGACCTTTGTTGGGGTAAATTACTAAAGAACGGCAGAAGTAAGGTTCAAATCCGTGAAAATTATGGTAACAGTAATAACGGCCATTTGATGTGAAAAAGTTCGTTCTTTCTCGTTCTAAAATAGTTCGTTCCATTATGTCCATTTGTTTCCTCTGTCGACCCATTGCTCAAATAACGTAATCCATATGAACGTTTTCTGAAATGAGCCCCCGATCTCCCACGGCGATCTGCTCTGCACAAGGATTACTCGAGCAGGCGCCAGAAACGTCTCCTGTTGTCTCTACTAGCGAGCAAGAGTAGCGTGGTGAATCATCTCGAGAAAGCGATCCGTCATGTTCACAGGTATCACTCGCGCTCTCCCACAGAGTGCCGAGCGGTAACGTTTCTACTCGTTCCTGCAACGTGATAGAGTTGCCCAATGGGTTTTCTGTGCTCGAGGTTGACGAACTTCATACCGTTCGTTCAGAGCTTCCTCGGAAGAAGTCTGACCAACGTGGTCGTCCAGGTGTTCGCTTGACATCCCGTGGAATATGGTCGCTGTGGTCCAGGGAGACGGGCAAGAGAATCGTAAATTGCCGCTTCGTCGCGCGCGGCAATGGGCGCGACGTTTCCTTAATTTGCACTACCCTTTCGATTGGAGCATCGGATTTCATGTAGACATGGTAGACACTTATGTCTATTTTTGGTCATACATTGTCTATTCTCGACCAATACCACCTGAAATCGTCGTCATTAGCGGCGCGACGTCGCACGCGACGCCACTGGCGCGCGAATTACGATTCTTGCCTCATACCCGTGGTCCAGCGATCATTTTCCATGCACATGACGTGCCCGGCTCACCTGACCTGATCTTGGAAACTATGGAAGTGGCGTCCCTGTCTTTAATTGTCGACGGAGTGCGGAGCTCCAGCTTTCCCCTCTCACTTGCATGAAACGGGAATTTCCGAGCAATCCCCCTTCGATGCTAACCGCATGCTCATCCTGCTTTCGTAGAGTCCAAGTCTCTGAGGCGTACGTCAAGGCAGGAAGGACCGCGGAATCGAAGAGGTGGGCACGGAGCTTGGTGTTCTTCGTCTTCTTCGCTACTCCCTCGATGTTCTTGAAGGCTCCCCAAGCCGCTCGCTTTCCCCTGCTCAGCTTTGGTGCTAGGCTATCTATAAAATGCTGATTTCCCGTCAGTTGCACACCAAATCGATTTCTTTTTTACATGAGAATAAAAAACACCATTATTGGCCGTAGAGGGCGAGAATATCAATCTCCCAAGGTCTTCACTGTTTCCCATAACGCGACATTCTTCTGATTGATGGGACGACTCAAACTCTACTGTGAATCTCTTCATAGTAACAACATACAAGCTGTAAAAGAGAACTTCATTAAGCACAGTATTTCAAAGAGTTAGGAAACCGGGGGTCATTCTCTCAAATATAATAGAAAGGAACTCAAAACTGATGGGTACATGCAATATAGCACAACATCACAAAACCCATAACATTTGTCAGACTACATTTTAACTCTAATAAATACAAAAAAGGTTATAGACACATCACAGTAGAACCGACTCCGACTCAGAACATTGCAATCAGCTTCAACACCCTGGAC